CACCTGCGCGCCGATGGAGCTGGACCACAGGACGAGCGGCGGCCTCCACGCCTACCCGGGGCCGCGGGGCGGGCCGGTGGCCAAGCCCAACGTGATCCTGCAGATCGGTAAGTGCCGGGCCGAGATGCTGGAGCACGTGCGGAGGACCCACCGGCACCTGCTGACCGAGGTGTCCAAGCAGGTGGAGCGCGAGCTGAAGGGGCTGCACAGGTCGGTGGGCAAGCTGGAGAACAACCTGGACGGCTACGTGCCCACGGGGGACTCGCAGCGCTGGAAGAGGTCCATCAAAGCCTGCCTGTGCCGCTGCCAGGAGACCATCGCCAACCTGGAGCGCTGGGTCAAGCGCGAGATGCACGTGTGGCGGGAGGTCTTCTACCGGCTGGAGAGGTGGGCCGACCGCCTGGAGTCCATGGGCGGCAAGTACCCTGTGGGCAGTGAGCCGGCCCGCCACACCGTCTCCGTGGGTGTGGGGGGTCCCGAGAGCTACGGCCAGGAGGCTGATGGCTATGACTACACGGTCAGCCCCTATGCCATCACCCCGCCACCTGCCGCCGGTGAGCTGCCCGGGCAGGAGCCGGATGAGGCCCAGCAGTACCAGCCATGGGCACCGGGTGAGGACGGGCAGCCGAGCCCTGGCGTGGACACGCAGATCTTCGAGGACCCTCGGGAGTTCCTGAGCCACCTGGAAGAATACCTGCGACAGGTGGGCGGCTCCGAGGAGTACTGGCTGTCGCAGATCCAGAACCACATGAACGGGCCGGCCAAGAAGTGGTGGGAGTTCAAGCAGGGCTCAGTGAGGAACTGGGTGGAGTTCAAGAAGGAGTTCCTGCAGTACAGCGAGGGCACTCTGTCCCGCGAGGCTATCCAGCGCGAGCTGGACCTGCCACAGAAGCAGGGCGAGCCGCTGGACCAGTTCCTGTGGCGCAAGCGGGACCTGTACCAGACGCTCTATGTGGATGCCGACGAGGAGGAGATCATCCAGTACGTGGTGGGCACCCTGCAGCCCAAGCTGAAGCGCTTTCTGCGCCACCCGCTGCCCAAGACCCTGGAGCAGCTCATCCAGAGGGGCATGGAGGTGCAGGATGGCCTAGAGCAGGCAGCTGAGCCTGCTGGTCCCCAACCCCCCACTGAGGACGAGGCCGAGGCCCTCACGCCCGCCCTCACCAATGAGTCTGTAGCCAGTGACCGGACCCAGCCCGAATAGAGGGCAGCCCGGAGCCCCCAGCCTGTCTGCCACACCTAGTCTGTGGCCTTGCCAACAAGGACTTTGAGCTGGGGCCGACTTCTGCAGGGGGAAGCCCTTGTCCACCTGGGCATCCCACTCGGCCTCCTGGCCTGACTCACATAGACATGTGCCATCCAGATGCAGGCAACACCACGGACAGCCCTGGAGCCCCTCTCCCCTGCAGGGCTCCTACCTGTCACCCTCTCCTCCGTCTGTCTTCCCTGGCCCTGGGCCTCACCCTCCACACTTTCAGGCCGTGACAGAAAGTCTCCAACTTCCTCATTCTGTTCCAACGTCCAGGCCCTCTGGGCACTCAGAAAACCAAATGTCCAGATGGCATGGACCACTGGCACCAACCTCATGGGGTGGGGCACCCAGAGCTGAAGCAAAGGCAGCACCAGTGCCAAGGGAACCTCAACTTCCGGGGATGCTGCCCTCTCCTGGCAGTCACCACAGAGCCAGCTGGCACCCCACCGCCTCCTAGGGCTGCTGGCCAGCCTCGGGCAGCAGGATTCCCTCCTCCCAGGAGAGAACCGAAGTCTTAAATGCAGCAGCAGCAGCAGACCTGACGTCCTGGTGCCTCCTGGCCCCTCAGGTGAGCCCTGCCCCTGTGGCACCACCCATGAGGGGGCATCCTAGAGTGGGGAAGGCCAAGGCCCAGATTCCATTTTCCGGGTGAGCTCCCAAGGCTCAGAGGTGTCCCTGGCAAGTTAGCTGCAAGCAAGTGGTGGGGGTGGCATTGTGGGGAGCGGGAGGCAGGGCTGGGGGAGTTTGCTGAACAAGCTCTCACATGGACCCCGCACTCTCTCCCCAGCACCAGTGATTCACGCCAGCCTGGAGAAGGATCAGAGCTCAGCTCGATGACTCACCGTGGCAGGCGGAGGGTCCCAGAGGGGCTGAGTCCTTAAATCCGGCTGAGGCAGCAGCCGGTGCCCTCAGAGCCAGGAGAGTGACAATAGGTAAGGAGATTCATCCCTCCCACCCAAGCCCCGTCCCTCAGCCCACCTGACAGGGAGTGAGCTCCTCCTCTGGCCCCTAGGCCCTCGGCAACGGTCCAGTCTTCTGGGCCAGCTGAGAGGCTCCAACAGGATCCTGGGGGCTTCAGCCCTGGGAGAGCACCCCATTGTCCATCCGTCCCCAGATCCTGTCTGTGGAGCCCTGGCTGCTGTCCCAGCACTGTCCCTGACTGGCATGTTCCCTCCTCTTTCTTCCAGGTCTCAAGGCTCCCACGAAGTCTTCGCTGCTGCGCCTGGCACGCCCTCCACTCCCAAGCTGCCCGCACAGGAGAAGTCCTGGGACAGCCCAGGGGGGCTGCAGAGAGCTGGTGGTGAAGACGGGCCAGCTGAGGGCCAGGGCCTGCCTCTATGCCCGCCCCGCTGGCTGCCCACTAGCTGCCCCCAGAGCCACTGCAGCTGCAGTCAGGGGTCGACTACTCTGAGCTGTGCTCCCTCCCCGCACAGGAGACCTGCTTGCTGCATGGCCATGGTCTCCCGCCAGAGCCTTTCATGAGCCCTGAGCCTGGGGCCACAGCCCCTGCCCTGCGTGGTGGCCCCATGCCCAGCCCAGGAGATCCCCAAGCCCCTGCTCCGGGGCTGTTCCAGGCACTGTGTCTCACCCTGCCATTGCCCAGGCCTTGGCCCCACTCCATCCCCCAGCACCAACACCCTGGTGCTGGCGGCCTCTCGCATCTGCAGCCCGAGCAGGCCCCGGTTGGAGATTCCTCCTTCTGCCTTGGTCACTGGGGTTTCCAGACTCTGGGAGGCCAGCTCTGCAGAAAGCTCTGACAGATCCTCCACTCCACACCCCTGCCAGCCCCACAGATTTTATTTTTGCACATAAGCCATAACCCATACTCATAGGCTGGCACAGGCTGCAGAGAGGCCCTGGGCCTGGGGAGACCCCAGGGACCTCGAGAGGGTGTGGCCACTCCCCCCTACCCCAGATCAGGCCTTGAATGTCCGGCCAGGCCCTGTGTACCCCTGCCTTCTTACCCTGAAGACAGACTCCTTTTGTAAGATTTTGTTAATAAAACATAAAACATTTTGGAGTGTTTGTGCTGCTGTTTCTCCATGTGCTTAGGCTGGGCTGGAGTGGAGCTGCAGAGGGAGCCCCATGGATGCTGAAGAGGGAGCCCCATGGATGCAGCGAGACGCCTCTGGCAGCCTGGGGAACACTGCCCCATCAGCCTGCAAGGCAGCCTCAGTCGGGGTCCTGGGCATTAGGGTCTTTTCCCCCACAGAGGCCAGCCCTGTATCCCCCAGGCCTGAGGTAGCCAGTGACGGGAGAGCTGCCTGGGGAGCCCTGTAGGTCTTCCCACTGGGGTGGGGTGTGCAGGAGACTCTACTACCAGGGTTTGGCCACACAGCCTTCTCAGGCCCTGGAGCCAGCTGGCCAGTGTGGCCAGCTGGCCAGTCCTGGCTGCAGGATCATGAACTCGGTCTCTTGAGCCTTAGAGTCTGCAAAACAAGGTGAACCCAGTACTGTCCATGCTTGGGCTCAGGAGCTCAGAAATGAGGGTGACTATTGTAAATGCGCTTGCTTTCTTGATTTCTTTTTCTGCTAGTTCATTATTGGAATGTAAAACCACTAGTGATTGTTACGAGTTAATTTTGTGTCCTGCAACTTTACTGAAATTGTTTATCAACTCTAAGAGTTTTTTGGTAGCCTTTAGGTTTATCTATATATAGGATTGTGTCATCTGCAAACAAGGACAGTTTGACTTCATCTTTTCCAATCTGGATGACCTTTATTTCGTTCTCTTGCCTGATTGCTCTGGCTAGTACTTCCAACACTATGTTGCTATTCAATAGGAGTGGTGATGGTGAGCATCCTTGTCCTTTTCCTGTTCTTAAGGGAAAAGCTTTCAGCTTTTCCCCGTTCAGGATGATATTGGCAGTGGGTTTGTGTTACGTTTTGTAAACATGAATATACTGATTATCCTGATTTGATCATGTTCTTAAGGGAAAAGCTTTCAGCTTTTCCCCGTTCAGGATGATATTGGCAGTGGGTTTGTATTACGTTTTGTAAACATGAGTATACTGATTATCCTGATTTGATCGCCACATTTTGTACATGTGTATTGATATTCAAATCTGTACCTTACAAATATATAGAATCAATTATGTTTCCAAAAAAATAAATGTTGAGGGTAATTCGATGTCCTGTGGGACGTAGACCCACCTGTCTTCCTGGACGACACCAGATTCCCAAGGGGCAGGGGCAGAGAGGGGGCTGGGAGGGGCTTGGGCCGCTGTATCAGTCAGTGTTGATGAGACCGAGAGGAGACAGACCCTGAGCGATTCAGCGAAAGCAACCGTCTTACTCGACTAGGAGCTCACTAGGCCAGTCCAAAATCCACAGGGCAGGCCGGAGCTCTGGGGCAGGGGCTGCAGGTGGCGTGCACAGGTGTGGGGGTGCCAATGGGAAGTCTCAGCCCCATTCTTACGCTCTTAAGGCCTTTCACTGACAGAATCAGGCCCAGCCAGGTGGTCAGGATGTGTTTCCTTAAAGTCAATAGACTATGGCTTTGGTTCCAAGTCCAGGTGCCTTCAGAGCAACACCTAGGTGGGGTTTGAGTGAGGGAGTAGCCAGACTGGCCGTTGCAACCATGTGGTCATCTGCAGGCCAGCCAGCCAGCCACCACCAAGGGTAGGGTCTCGCCGGTGGATGGGCTCGCTCTGCACGGCGGGGTCCTGGCCAAGGTGTGAGGGCAGCCGTAGCAGTGCCAGCCCAGCCCAGCCTGGCAGAGCTGCACCTGGGGGCGCCTGTCACCGCTCCTGCCATAGCAGAGGATGGAGCTGCCGGGCACGGAGAGGCGGCCTGGGAAGGCAGGAAGCGCAAGGAGCAGAGAGAAGCACCTGCCGCCAGGAAATGTCGTCACCCGTGCGTGGAGCAGCGGCGGCCCTGAGCTCGGCCCTCCACGATGAAAGAGCCGCCCCCACCTGTTCTACCCTGTTGTTTCTTTTAAATAATGCAGCTGCCGACGAGAATGGGGAGAGGAAATTGGCAGGAACAGGAGGGTGGGACACCGCAGCGCTGCCTGAGCGGCAGCAATTTCCTAGGGAGAAATACTACCACTCACATGAAAAGCTGAGAGCCGTAGATGTGTTTTTCCTTTTAATAAAAAGTTACTCCTCGTAACTGGGAGATTGTGAATTAGGTCATCTGAACACCTCAAGTCATTTGAGATGCAGCTCTGTGTCTTTGAGTTCCCAAGAAAAGAGGCTGGAGGGCTGAACAGGGTGGGTGGTGAGGGGTGGGGGGGGCCAGACACCCCAAATCCCGAAGCCCAAGTCCCAGGACAGGATGTTCCCCACTATGGGCCCCTCCACCCCTCACCGTTCCTGCCCCTTCAGGTATCACAGGCCACTCAGTCTCATCTTTTCACTGTAGAGTGGGTAAACTGAGGCACAGAGAGGGGACCTGCTTGCTTTAGGTTGGGGAGCAGATTTGGCCCTGGGGGCAGAGGCGTGCCCAGAGGGGCTCACTCTGCAGACCCAGATTGGTGGGAGCTTCTGAATCAGGTGGGCATGGTCTCAACTACCAGGGCTGCCATCTGCCGGCGGTAGCCTTTGTGAGAGGGCGAAAGGGCGAGAGGGCTGGCGCCTGGGCCCTGGAGGTGCTCGGGATGTTACTGTTGTTGTCCTCAAGGCTCATCGAGATTAGGTCTCCCACATGCTGTCAGGGTCACTGTTGGGTGCTGGCCACTACCTCCGAGGGCTAAGAAGCTGCAGAAAACCAAAAAAGCAGTGTGCTTGGGAAAGCGGATCAGTCAGGGGAGCCCAGGCTGCTGTAACCAAGAGACCCAACGGCGAAGTGGTTTTTCTTCTCGCAGGAAAGCATGCAGCAGGTGCCTAAGCTCTGACTGTTTATTCAGGACCTTCCAAGTCCCTCTGCCACCCCAGGGCACTGTCTTGTCTGCAGGTGGAAGCTGAGCTCTGCTGCTGCCAGCTGGAAGCTGCAAGAGACTGGGAGGGACAGCCACACCACCCATGTCCCAGGGCCAGGCCCACAGGGTTGGCCCATCTCCGCCATGACGTCCATGCAGGGAGCATAGTCTGAGCTCATGCCCAGTGCATGGGGCCTGGGCACAGGGAGGAAGGAGGAACCGTGGTGGGCCGCCCGCAGACAGGAGGCCACACTGAAAATTGTTTAGGGCGATGTCCGACGAAGAATTTAACCTGCCCTAAGAGGGGTCTGGCCCTGCCCCGGCTCCTGGGAGGTCATCTCTAAGCCTTGTTTACCTGAGGGCCTCGGGCCACACCAGATGGTCTAGCAACGTGACTCAGGTGGGGCTTTGGGCCATGTCATGTCAGCTGTACTTCCAGAGAGGCTGGAGACTGAGTCAGCCACGAGGGTGGCAGCCAGGTCCACGTGACAGCACCGAGGAGAGATTCTGGACACCAAGGCTCAGGGCACTTCCGGGTTGGCCTTGCCCCATGTGTGTTGACACACAGTGCTGCCAGGAGCGTTGACGCCACCCACGACCCCACGACCCCTTGGGGAGAGGACGGCTGGAAGCCGTGTTTGGACCCTCCTGGACTCTGTCCCAAGTGCCCCTTCCCTGGGCTGATTTTGATCTGCATCTTTTTCCGTAATAAACCACAACCACAAGCATAACAGCGAGTGAGTTCTGGGCGTCCTTCCAGAGAATGACCAAGTCTTGGGGACCCCCAGACTCTACAGCCGGTGTCAGGAGCGAGGGCGGTCATGTGGACTGTTCCTAGCTTCACAGGTGGAGCAACTCTTTTTCTAGCCAGTGAGGGTCTTTTAACCCCAAGATTTGAAATCAGCACAGAAATTGAAAAGACAAACTCAAAATATTTTATTTTGTCAAAAAATTGTATATAGGTCACATTTTAATTATTTTAACATTGAAGAGAATTTGGCCCAGTAGAAGCAATGGAGACCCCTTATAACACCAGCATAAAACTTCTAACCAGGTTTGCGCTTTCCCGTCCCTGCTTCTCGCTGGCCCTGTCCCTCTGTCTGTCTCTGTCTCTGCAGAGCTGGGGGAGGGAGGTGAGACAGGGTCAGAGTTGCTCAGACTCCTGTGGTATTGGGGGGAGGGAGAAGGGGGCAGATGAGGTGGATGAGGACATTTTTTAAAGAGGAAAGGGAAGGTCGAAGGGGAGAATGGCTGGGTCCATGAGGTGGAAGGGCACCTCCCTTCCTGCCGTGGCATGGCAGTGGTTCCTGGGGAGGCTCACCCTGGGGCTGGGCTACACAGGCAGGCATGGCCGTGGACCTGCATATCAGTCAGGATCAGAGGCCACGCTGCTGTGACAAGCAGCCCCCAGACCTCAGGGGCTCAACACAGCCCAGGCCTCACTCCCACTCCTGCTCCTGTGCGGCATGGGGACGGGGGGCTCTGTCTCAGTCACTGGGCACCGGACGACGTTGGCTCCATCACCACTGGTGTTCCCAGGGTCACTGCGCACCATGGACCCTCCTCGTCCCCTCCTGGAAGTGGCATCCTCGCCTCCCCCACGCCTGCCTTCCGGGATGGGCATGTTCCGTCCTGCCCTGGGCCTGGAAGGACAGCCCAGATCCCACAGACAAAACCCGGATCCCCATACAGCCAGCCGCCAAAATAACAGCTGCTTATCTTTACTGTGCACTGATGAATATACTCATTATCCTGATTTGATCACCACACACTGTACACAGGTACTGATGTTCAACTCTGTACCCCACAGACAGGTACAATCAATTATGTCTCAATTAAGAAAAAAAACACAAAAAACCAATGGGCTGTGCCAGCCAAACCCGTGGCTTTCCTGTTTCTCTGCCTGTCTCTCCTCCTCCCGGCACGTGGGTGCCCAGGCCTGATTCCTCAGCGTGTCACTGCACAGATGGATACAGCCCCCCGTCCTCCTGACCCAGGAACTGGGTGGGGGTGTCAGGAGGGGTCACTGCCCCAGAGCAGGCCCACACACCCGACAGCTTCCGTGGCCCATCAGGGAAGGTCCCGCTGAAATCGGACCTGCATGCTGCCCGCCACCCTGGGTGGTGGTTGACACACACGGCGGGTGCTTGGGAG